AATACAATACTCCAGTATCGCTAGACGTAACTTCGGTGTGTGTATCTGCTAATTGTGCTAAGTAGGTAGTGTGCAGTCAGTCAATTGTGGCTGTAAACATTAAAAAATGAAAACAGGCTACAAAGCTTTAATAATTATCTTCAGGTTTGTCACTGTGAATGGCCCATTTCACATTACCCATGGTCATTTGATCAATAAAAATACTGATTAGTTCAGCTCTATTTGGAATCATTATGACAGTTTCCTGGACATTTTTTTTTTTTTTTGCCTTTTAGGAGACCTACAGTGGTATATTAAATGTATCAAGAAATGCATTCATCACCACATTTAAGGCCTGGTATGAACACAAAATGTCAACAAAACTGTGACTTTCCAATTAAAAGCATTCCTAAATTTAAAAACTACTCATAGGGTCTTCTATGTTCCCTGTCTGAGGGACTACTTCATGTGCACCTACCTGCCCATCCACATGCTGGCCTGGCAGGAGTCTGTAGAAGGGAGCTGGGCAGACGGGCCCTCGGTGGCGCCCTCTGCAGACAGCACCTCAGCAGCCTGGCTGGTGATGTCACGGTACAGCTGGATGAACTGGTACAGGTTCATGATGCGTGATGCTTCCATCATGCCACTCTCCTTGTTGATCTGGGAGCAGGCAAAGGTAATCACATGACTCATACGACACACATGGTATAGCATGCTGTTCACATGTAGTCACAAGTCTACACTGTTCTAAAATAGTTGGGCTTAACCAGTGCAGGTTTCTGACAATCAATACAAGTGTTCAGTTCAATCTTTAAATCTGGTAATATCTATGTTTAAACATTTTCTAAAATAGCATTTGATCATCCTGGAACAGTAAAACATGGCCACAGCCAGTGTAGTATTAATTAGGAGTGGAACAAAACTCATAGTTCAGTTAATCTCCCAGTTTTGGTTCCGTTTGGTATTCAGTCATAGCTGCCATGTAAATTATCCTTCTAGTGCTGCACAAACTCAACAATGTGTTTCCCTTCAAATTTAATTGCACAGTAACTCAAGCACAACAGAGTATGGGTGGAATACTGAGGGAACAATATGCAATATTTCTGCCTGCAATAACTTAATTCCCCTCCATGGAGAAACACACTGAGTCACAAGCCCCACCAACAGAGGGAACATATTTAATAGGGAAAACAACATCAAAGGCGTGGACAGGTGCCTTTCTTGGCATGTGATGTGTGCAAAAGGTTCTTTGGTCTCACCTTGGTACAGAGGACCCTGACTGCCACCTTCCACAGGGCTGTGGCATCCGATCCTGGCTGCACCTCAAACAGCAGGTGCTTCTGCTGTCCAGCAGCGAGCCTGGCAGTACTGAGAGAGATCCAGCAGAGGAGGGACGGCATGTTCAGCTCGAGAAAGCATTGTTTTTACGGTACAGTATATGAACACACTTACACATGCAAACGCACACACAAGTGATGTCACATTTTGTTAACACGGTTAGATTTAGCTGGGAGTTTCTCCTAAATATGAAGTGTATTTCTGGCCACGCTGAATGACGGCAGAAATGTGTTGTTTATTGTGTGAACTCTGCAGTTTAGGTGCTGTTCACTCACCCACGATGCTCTGCTGCGAACTGAGCTTTATAGCATCAACACAGAATCGTCACAAAATGAAGATGTCAAAGCTGCACTAATTGGCATTGGACGTAATGATATACTGCATACCCACTTACATCATGCTGCACATAAGTTTAGTTTGACTTATCCCAACGATATCTACACTTTTAGATAAATAAAAATGTCTACACTGATACAATCATTCTGACTTTCTTTTGTCACAACTGAGAATACTTCTCTCTCTCTCAGTTACTATCTCTGAGAGCTAGTGAACTAAAGTTTTAATTGGCAGAAGCAGGTCTTAAATGCCTGGGGACTAAGATGGGCCAAATGGCGATGGTGGAATCTTAGTGAAGCTAGCTGTGCAGAGTTTATCCTGGGAGCCAAAAAAGAAAAAATCATTTAAAAATCCATCGCATTCAGGTATTTTGTGTGAGGTCGTTCAGTACGGTCCTCGCAGTCATTTGCTTAAAACGGTTTTGTTCATTTCACTGTCCCTCCGCTACATTAAACAACTGGAAAACAGCTGCATGTTTGCACAATTCAAAATCTGTTATTCCCCATGGACAGTTCTTTGTCCTGTTGAGCAGCTATGTACATTATGTGTCCAGAACAGACCGTGACTTACACGTCGTTAAGTTCAGCCACTCTCGCCAGAAACTCCTCGTAGGTCAGGTAGCCGCTGTCACGTACCAGTCCAGCGTGTTTCACCAGCTTCTCAGGCAGATGGTTCATCACCGCCTGACCTGAGAGCTGCTGGCCCATCCTGGCAGCAGCAGCAGCACTTACAGAACAGCACTGGCAGAAGGCTCATTCAGTTCTGCAGAGCCTGGTGGGAAATAAACAGTTAAAGTTTATCTTTCTTTCTCTGGGACGATCTAGCTTTTCCTCATTTATTGTCGATGTCAGCTGTGACTGATTTCTCAGCTCATATGAAATAAACTGGCAAGCCAGCAGCATTCGGGGTGTAAGCAAACAAATATGTCTCTATTTCCCTTAGAGACTTTTCTTTTATGGATTTGGAATCCATAGCTAAACTATCTAGAGACACTGAAGACTAGTAGCCACTGAGGTTCGGGAGCCAGGTCAGGATGTAACATATGTCGCTCATTTTAGTTGCAGAAATGTTGGAAAATGTTTCGTTTTTTTTATTTGGTGCGTAATAAAAACATTTTTATAACTGGAGAATCTAAGAATCCCTTTAAGCCTGCAACAATAATAAATGAAAATGTGAAAAATAACTAATGAATTGCGCCTCCGCAGCTCAGGTTGCCTACACCTGATCTAGAGCGTAAACCTGACTGCTCTCTCATCAGAAGCTGGGGTTTAGTCTAAACCACGCTGCTGCGTATTGAAGAAAAGCCACTAGAGGTCACGAAGGGCTAATGAGCAGCAAGCATGAGACGCAGCATTTTATTAACGATGACAAGTGTTCACTGATTTTTGGTTTTTAGAGATTTCAAACTAAATATGACAACAGAATACTAATAATACATTTGCTGGCTTCAGTTCACAAAAAGGGATTTTTTTTTTCTTTGAGATCTTGAAAACTGGCTACAGTGATTTTCTACCACTGAGATAACATGAGGTCCAACACTAGTGTGCAGTCTGCAGTTCTTCCTAAAGGTGAGGGATGGAGCTGAGATCAGGTCTCTGATCACATCAGACTGTGTTTTGTGCGTCTGTGTTACTGAGCATTATCATGTTGGAACAACAGACACATTATTGTCTCAAATCAAATACCACAGCACAGCATTAAGACTTCCAACTGAAGCGAAGAGGCCTAAGCAACACCTTGAAACGCAGCCCCAGACTAAAAGTACACAGAGGTTTGTCTGAGACAGCTCCTGAAGTGCTGACTGCAGTGAAACAGCCTTTAACGACCACAGTCACGTACACACGAACCCTGTCACATCTGCTGACGTTACCCACAGTCTGACCTTTGACCCTGAAGTCTCTCAGTGAAACCCCAGCCATGGCACGATTTATAATGTAATATAATTTATAATGTGGTCGTTAACGTAAACTCACGAACAACCAAACACAACACAGGAACTGCACAACTCTACTGAATTAGCTACATCAGCATGGTGTAAGAAGTAGTGATGATAAGGAAGCTAAGGGACGTGAAATGTTCGCCACCGTGAACAGCAGCACTATTCTCGTTTGGACAACCTTTCATTTGCTCCTTTAAGACGCCATTGTTTGAGAGAAAGCCCACTAATGAAGCGACACTAACGAGGAGCGACATTACTCTGCACTGAACTAACGTTAACACGAACAACATTAACATTAACTAACATTAACATTAACAACATTAACATTAACATTAACTAACATTAACCATTTAGGAAACACACGGTCGGTGAAAAGGACGAAAACCTGTTAAAAGATAAAAGGACATAAAGCTCCTGTGAGGAAGCTTTCAGTCTCTTACCGATAAGTGAACATCAGAGTGAGTCAGCGTCCAGACTGCACCACCCATAGACATATAGACATATATATATAACGTTAATATAATATGATATATATATATATATAACGTTATATGCAGCAGCAGCTTCTCTCTGCTCTGTTTGTGTTGACACAACGCAGGCGCCGGCTGATGACGTCGCAGTGCGTCTTTCATTTTCACTCAGACGTCATTTATGGAGGACGACGTTCTGAAGTTTTGTAAATGTTGAAATAATAATATATATAATAATAATATATATTATAATAATA